TGTTTTATCAACTGAATTATCACTTCTTGTTCAATATAACTACAATGTATTTCCACATTTGTTATCATTGTACTTATCCCATATTGTGGAGTAACATGATTTCATGTGTTTTATCAACTGAATTATCACTTCTTGTTCAATATAACTGCAATGTATTTCCACATTTGTTATCATTGTACTTATCCCATATTGTGCAGTAACATGATTTCATGTGTTTTATCAACTAAATTATCATTTCTTGTACAATATAACTACAATGTATTTCCACATGTGTTATCATTGTACTTATCCCATATTGTGCAGTAACATGATTTCATGTGTTTTATCAACTGAATTATCATTTCTTGTACAATATAACTACAATGTATTTCCACATGTGTTATCATTGTGCTTATCCAACATTTTGCAGTCACATGATTTCATTTTCTATAAACTGAATTATCATTTCTTGTACACTATCACTAGTCCTACATGTGTTATCATTGTACTTATCCCATATTGTGCAGTCACATGATTTCATTTTCTATAAACTGAATTATCATTTCTTGTACAATATAACTAGTCCTACATGTGTTATCATTGTACTTATCCCATATTGTGCAGTAACATGATTTCATGTGTTATAGAAACTGAAGTATCATTTCTTGTACAATATAACTAGTCCTACATGTGTTATCATTGTACTTATCCCATATTGTGCAGTAACATGACTTCATGTGTTTTATAAACTGAATTATCATTTCTTGTACAGTATAACTACAATGTATTTCCACATGTGTTATCATTGTACTTATCCCATATTGTGCAGTAACATGATTTCATGTGTTATATAAACTGAATTATCATTTCTTGTACAATATAACTAGTCCTACATGTGTTATCATTGTACTTATCTCATATTGTGCAGTAACATGACTTCATGTGTTTTATAAACTGAATTATCATTTCTTGTACAATATAACTACAATGTATTTCCACATGTATTATCATTATCCCATATTGTGCAGTAACATGATTTCATGTGTTATATCAACTGAATTATCATCAACAGCTCTCGTATAATTGGGATTGAGATTAAAGTTCGAGACCTGTCAACACTTTATCTGTTTGGCGTCTACATGCCTACCTCCTCTTATGGATATGAAGTTTTGAAACAAGAAATTGACATACTTCAAGACCTATATGGTTTCTATGAAAGTAAAGGAATAGTGCTTTTCCTTGGCGATTCCAACATCCCACTTCAGCGCCACAACTGCTTCACAGAAAGAAGATCCGGCCTGCTACAAAGCTTCCTCGATAATAATAACTTAGTTATTCTTCAGAATACTGACTCCTTACCATATACCTTTGTCCCTTCTCAATCAATGTTAGATCTTGTACTCGTGCCAAGGGAACATCAGCTAATTGTGAAAGACTTTCTGATTCACCCAGAAGATGATCTCAACTGTGTCTCAGACCACCTGCCAGTCTCTGTCTCCCTACATGTACGTTATCACCCTGAAGCGGATGTGACACCACAGAAACCCTTGACATCATGAAAAAAATGTGATGAAACAATACTCAAAGACTATCAAAATACACTAAGCATGGAATTACATATGGCAAACCCCAGTGACGATATAACTGATGCTAGTGATATAGATTACCTCTACCGGCACATCACGGAAAGTGTCACAAAAGCAAGCACAGCTACTCTACCATTATCAAGATTCAATCCCCACACAAAACCTTACTGGTCACAGGAACTGAAGGATGCTCACAAACGTCAACGACAAGCTCAACGTCTATGGATAAACGAAGGATGTCCAAGAGGGCCAGAACACGAGAGTTACTCTAAATATAAAGGTCTTAAACGTGACTTCAGAAAAGCCCAACGAAGAGCCATTCAAGAATACACCGAAAACTCACTTCAGGAATTTGAAAGCTCATATGAGTATGATATAAAAAGCTTTTGGAAACTGATAAACAGAAGAAAAGGAAAGAAAAACAACTTTTGTGCTTATCTCACCTATAACAACAGAGATACTTGGGATTCTGACGACATAGGGAATGTCTTTGCTGACTTTTATGAAACAGTACACTCCCCCTTACGAAATCCCGAATTCGATGATGAATTCTACAACGCCACAAATTCAAAGGTTTCTCAATTATTACAATCAGAATCTTTTCAGCACATTGCAGCCCTGAAAGAACAAGTTACCCGGAGTGAAGCCAGCAGCATAGTTAAGAACCTCAAGAAGTCAAAAGCTCCTGGAGATGACAATGTACAAAACGAACACATCATCTATGGTGGACAAACTTTAACAGCATATATAGTAAACCTGTTCAATGGAATGCTAAAGCTCGGTTTTATTCCAAATCGTTGTAAGTCAGGAATAATTATTCCTATCCACAAGGGGGGCAACAAACCAAAGAACGATCCCGGAAATTATCGTCCAATAACCCTGCTCCCTGTCATTTATAAGCTCTTTGAGAAACTTTTGCACAACAGACTAACATCCTGGCTCACGCTAAACAACTTCACAATTCCAAATCAGCAACAACAGGGTTACCAAAGTTGAATCGGATGCATGACTGCAGAGTTCAACCTAACGGAATCAATATGTCAAAATCTTGAATTAGTAAGCAAAGTTTATACAGCATTTTTAGACAATAAAAGAGCTTTTGATACAGTGTGGCACAACGGCCTGTTTCTGAAGCTGTATCAACTTGGCATTACAGGGCAATCCTGGAGAATCCTTACCAACGCATACACCAACCTCAAGAGTTCAATCTTTGTAAATGGCATTCAGTCTAGACTCTTCCCCGTACACCAAGGTGTAAGACAAGGCGGTGTGTTGTCCACTCTCTTATATCTCATTTTCATTGATGAACTTCTTGACGAACTTGAGGCATCAAGATGTGGTGTGAATGTTATTGATCTTAAACTTGGAAATCAAACATTGGCTGATGACATCACCCTACTTGCAATCACACCAGAGACCCTGCAGACCCTCTTGGATATTGTGTCGAAGTATTCACAGAAGTGGAGGTATGAACTTAACCCCTCCAAATGCATCGTAATTGTGTTTGGGTCCAAAGCTGGTCACTCCTCAACCTTTAAGTGGCGCCTAACAGGCGATCATGTCTCCACAACTGCCTCTACCAAACACTTGGGAGTACAATTAAACCAAAACCTTAAACATGAAGATGTTGTAAAGGAAGCTTTTAGAAAAACCAAATCGTGTTTTCATGCTCTAATGAGGATTGGCTTAAAACCAAAAGGTGTTAATCCCCTCATATCCGACGATACTGTCCGTAAAACAGTTCTACCTTGTATGCTGTATGGCTGCGAACTGTGGACACAGCTCTCTCAGCAGGATATACGGTAGCTCTCCACAACATGGCACTATATGGCAAAATCTCTACAAGGCTTCCAACTAAGGACAAGAACAGATATGTGTCTCAGTATGATCAACTGGATGCCTATTACAGAAGAGATCTCAAAGCGTCAACTTATGTTTTTTCATAGACTGTGTTCACTCTTACCTGACAACCTACCAAAGAGGCTCCTCCACAGAAGAATATATCAATATCTTCATAACCGCAACAATCAACAGACAGGCTTCATACCTCACATAATCAATGTCCTACAGAAGTACAACTTGCTGGACACTCTGAATCGGTACTTGACTAGCAACATACGAGTGGAAATACGAGTGGAAGAGACTAATCACCCACAGAATCGCTACCAAATACAGCGCTGAATGGACGGAACGCACAAGCAATCACCCAGACTTTGCACGATTCAGAATGCTGCATGACGTTCTTGTACAGTACAACTACAATGTATTTCCACATGTGTTATCATTGTACTTATCCCATATTGTGCAGTAACATGATTTCATGTGTTATAGAAACTGAATTATCATTTCTTGTACAATATAACTAGTCCTACATGTGTTATCATTGTACTTATGCCATATTGTGCAGTAACATGACTTCATGTGTTTTATAAACTGAATTATCCTTTCTTGTACAATATAACTACAATGTATTTCCACATGTGTTATCAATGTACTTATCCCATATTGTGCAGTAACATGATTTCATGTGTTATATAAACTGAATTATCCTTCCTTGTACAATATAACTACAATGTATTTCCACATGTGTTATCAATGTACTTATCCCATATTGTGCAGTAACATGATTTCATGTGTTATATCAACTGAATTATCATTTCTTGTACAATATAACTACAATGTATTTCCACATGTGTTATCATTGTACTTATCCCATATTGTGCAGTAACATGATTTCATGTGTTTTATCAACTGAATTATCATTTCTTGTACAATATAACTAGTCCCACATGTGTTATCATTGTACTTATCCCATATTGTGCAGTAACATGATTTCATGTGTTTTATCAACTGAATTATCATTTCTTGTACAATATAACTATTTCCACATGTATTATCATTGTACTTATCAGAAATAACTTGTAAGCAGAGAGAAATGCTCACTGCTGTTTGATTATTTGATTATACAAGTTGTGAGTAACGGGATCTGCTACTCGCTTAAGCTTAAACCTGCTCACTCATTAAAGCTGACCAGTGTCATCCCTTATTTAAATGTCACAACACTGTGGTGTTACCTAAAAAGTCTGGCGTTTTTTTGTACAAGTTGTTACTGCCGTTGGTGGCAGTGTCATCAGTATCCCAGGAGGGGCTTGTGTACCTCCCTAAGTCCCCCGTTTTACAGCTATAGCGCTGTCTTGAAGTGCCGTGTAATCACTGGCTAGGAAACACGAGGCGTGCTAACACCTACTGTTATTTGCCCGCAAAGGCAACCCGAGCGAAGTCCATCGAAGATGCCATTAGGGCTGTAGCCGGGTATGGGTAACTCTACAATGAGGTTCTACTGTAGCAGCAGCAGTACACATATGACACGTCATTGAACATCTGACCAATGCATGTCGACTGATATCACATCTACACACGCGACACTACACACACATAAATATCAGCACAATACTCTTCCGTTAAATGTTCAGCCTAAAAGAACGACCTGTGTCTGGTGGAGCGTGATTAGTCCCTCGGTCGGCTGTCTGTCTTGTCCAACCAGTCCCGTCACAACCTGATTCCCACGCCCATCACTATTGTTTACCTTGACAACGGGCTTGTGACACGAGTGTCACCAAGACAGGTTATAACGCTGTCACCCGAACCATTTACCTCACTATAACGCACCCGGATCCATTATGGTTCTAAACATTTCTGTGTCCAGACACTCAGCCAACAAAGAACCTCTTGTCATACACAGACGGTAAAAAGGTATGTGCCAAACATTTATATTGCATTTATAATTATTTCAATAATAGCCGCGTTATAATGGGGTACAACTCACACATCAACATTCTTCCCCCGTGGCAAGTGACCAGGTCGTTGTTGTTGTTGACATGCGTGATAGTGCGGGGGACACACCAGACGTCCATGTTTCGGAAATCTGAGTCTGAAATATTGAATTCTTTTCTCTATTTCTCCATTCAATACAGATTCTATCAATGATTTCTGTGTAAGGATAATAAACACCATATTGATCACTAATCATGTCGATCACACCAGCCATTCTCGTTTGCCTGCAGGAAACCTGACTGTTGACAGTACATTCATGAATGTTGTGTACACACGTCTGTCTTATAGCGGGGCGAGATCGCTATACCTACATCGACAGGAACTGTGGCAGTCAGGTTGTAGAACTGGGTAGAGAGACACTTAGATCTATACATGATGGGAATCCTGGACGCTGTACCCGCAGTGGGCGTGTGTGATGGTAGTTAAACCCGGTTGTTGACAGATTCCTGGATCGGCTCTCCTCACACAGATTTCAGCTGATATGTCACGGTGTCAGTGAAGCATGACACAGACACAGACTCGCAGTAAGAAACACAACAGAGCTGGTGGACTCCATTACAACCCCGTGAGACACACAACAGAAGACTGTAGTGATGGCTGATCCTGCGGGCAGCCTGACAATCTCCTGACATTACAGTCCATGTACCACGACTATGCTCACTGTGGTGCATGAAGGACAGAGCTGACCCTGGGTCATCTGTGGGGTACATTATAACTGGATGGGGGAGGTCTCGTGGACAATGTGGGGCACGGGCTTCAGCCTGGCGATCCTTGGATGGCTACTACATGCGTCCCGCGGTGAGTTCATAGATAGATACAGTACAACCAGAAATAATTGAGAATTAATGATAGTAAAAATGTTAATTTTTTCCACTCATCACTCACGTATAAATGTGAATATTAGCAGAACATAACTCCAGATTCAAAGACAGGTGAACAGTTAGTATTTTGTCAAGTCACCATGGGCAGCAATGCAGGCTTCAATACGGCGGGGCATACTACTGATCAAAGAAGTTAGAAAGTCGTGGTCCATGCTGTCCTAATATCGGACCACCTCTTCTTTCATTTCAGCAATATTTGTCAGATTTTTCTTATTGACACTTTCCTTCATAAGTCCCCAAACATTTTCTATTGGATTTAGGTCAGGGTTATAGCTTGGCCAATCTAATAATGTCATATTGTGGGTCCGAAACTAGGCCTGTGAATGCTTTCAACGATGTTTTGGGTCGTTGTCCTGCTGGAAAATCCAAACATTTCCAAAGAACATGTGAGCAGATGGAAGTAAATGTCACTCGAGAATATCTGTGTACCGCTCACTGTTCATATTCCCTTCAAATACACAGAGGGGCGTTGCCCCTGACACAGATATGCCACCCCACACGATAAATTTTGGACTGTACTTTGGGCGCTGATACAAAGGTTTTTCAGTTTGTTTGGTCCTGAATTTCGAATTCAGTGTATTAGGAAACAGCCACACAGAACTTTCATCTGAGAAAATCACATTGTCCCAGTTAAAGTTTCTATGCTGTAAGCACCAGTTCAACCTTTGCTCCTTTTGTTCAGGTTTCATGATCGGTGATGGAATTCTTTGACTTTTTTGCCAACCCATTGCATGCAGCTTTAATTGTCTCCTTACAGACAGCCACAGTTCCTCTATCAATCATATCCAGCCTTAAGTTTTCTGAGCTCCTTCGTTTGTTTTTAGAAACAAGAATACCATATTTCTGCGCCTCCCTGGTCATTAATGCCATATCCATTTGCAATATTTTTCAAAACATGATAAACAGTGGACAAAGGGATGCCTGGTCTACTTGAAATCACTTTAGCTGATCTGATGTCCTTGTTATAATACTCTAAAATCAACTTCCTCTTCTCTAAATCATCCATACCGAGGATCACTGAAAATGTCGTCTGCTAGCAAGTAAACAAAGGGTGATAACTCTTCACAAACTAATGAAGAAGGATTAACTGAGTTGTCTCTCTTGAATGAAACCAAGCACTTGATAGCTGGTCAAGGTTGTATATACTAGAAATCCAATTAAACATATTCCTAAAATTCTCAATAATTTCTGGTCATACTATGCATAGATACATATATAGAACGTCATATTAGTGCATTTGGATCGTTTGTATTGAACGAGAAGATGGCATGGGAGCAGAGAAACAACGAGTTCGAAGAACCCCATTACATCTTCGAGTTACTTAATAAAACGAAAGAAAGTAGAACCGGCAGGGGTTCAATACGGAATCTGGGGTGCAGTACGGAATTTGACCACGTCATGCGTATTGGACTCCTGTATTACTATTTTGTATCAAAGTAATGAGTACTTGAGATGCCTTTCACACAAAACATATCTCCTCCGTCTTCAGTTAGTATTGATATCTTTATGTTTACATTCAGGTCAGACCCTCCGCACTGTACAAACTTGTACCAACTCTACCTCGGAATCACTGAAGTTGACGTGTGAGACAGGGGAGATAATCCATGTGGTCAGTGTCCAGTACCAGAACATGACAGCAGATTGTGAGTCTCCACCTGGTGGCAGCTGTGTGTTCCGTCAAGAGACTCAGGCTGACAGTCTGTACACAGAGTGTAACGGTGTGGCTACATGTGAGATGGAGGTGCAGAAGTTCTGGATGGACGCAGTCTGTGGAGACACAACAAACTACAAAGCTGTCATATCCTATGAATGTATATCCGGTAGGTAACGTAATTGCACATTGCGCAACATTGTGATAAATGTGCAATTGTAATTTATAATTTATGATTAGGCGTCATAGGGCATTGTTTCGAGAACGTGCTTTCGAACAAAATCACGTTATATTACGTAAAAGGGTATTATGACGTATTTTTAGAGTTTGTGGTGCTGTATTCTAAAGGTAGGCCCAGAGTTAGGATTTGCCCACGTTTGCGAAACCAGTACAAGGAGTCCTCTGTCGCTATATTACATGAATGGAACATTTGGTGTACAATATCGCCACACCACAAATAATGTGACAAATGTTTCAAACTACAACTTTAGAGCTAACTTTAGATGTCACCTACATGTCACTGACCATTGTTACTGGTTTTTGTTGACCTCTCACAACAGACAAAACCGTGCAGCTTGGACTGTTTCCAGCAGTAGGAAGGTCGATGTTTCTAAAACATATTAATGTGAACGTTGTCTTCCAGACGCCCCCATTGATGTCTGCAACAATGTTACACAACTCTCCAAACAGAACGTCAACAGACTCTATCTGGCCTCGCCCAATTATCCACGTCTGAACATTGCATCTTCTGGCACGTGCTCATGTGACGTCACTGGTCATAACTTGAGCGTGACTGTCCTTGAATACTACTTCACCCTTCTGGGGGATGTAAGAGCCAATTTGACTCTGACTGGAGACACATCCACCTGGACTTCTTTTACAGCGGGAATGATTGCCTACAACAGTTTAGTCATGAACAGCACAGACAGTCTGAAGATAGTCTTTGACGCAATACCAGCTTCAGCAAAGAAAAAAGAAATTTTGTGGTTGAAAGTAGAAGGTAAGACTTTATTCCCGGTATGTAAATCTTTTATGGTCAATTTGATTAACACACCACTCCCAGACAGAGACATTGTACAGGTATCCGAGTGGCCCACCTTGAATACTGACGAGAGGATTTTGAGGTACAGTATTATCAGAAAATAAATCTTATGTAAACATGTTAGATTTGGGATTACACTTAGTAAAGTACAGATTTCTTTGTGTGGCATTTTTGGAAGTTGAAGTCAGATAGAACAAGACTAGTATATATGGATGACAATTTCTTTAATTCTAGAGCACGACGTTTCTTGTACTTTTGTTGGGTTGAGTCGGAACTGGTACTCTAGACTTTGCGTACCCCTCTGATAAGTGTTAATTGGCACTTTCAGGGCACAAAAATAATCAAATGTAACATATATGTATGTTATATTTGGGATTACACTTTGCATTACATATGTTACATTTGACCACTTTCTAAATGGCATTGCTTTCGGCTGTGGAAGCCGTGACAATTATCACTTATCAGAGGGGTACACAAAGTCCGCAGTCTACCAGACTATCATAATAAATGTTATTTAAACATGTGCAGTGATGTGTATGTCAGTGGCGGATGGAAATGACTTAAGACCACATTGAAAAAAAAACAAATTGCGTTGGCGAAGCCAAGGGGGGTTCAGGGAAACACACAACACACACACACACACAAAATTCCTGGATTCGCCCATGTTTCATATATACTGTATATAAACCATGAAGCCTTCTCCTTTTCTAAGGGAATACATTTTTCTATTTAGGTTCATCCGCAATACAAGTAGCATGCAATGGAAGTCCACCCCCGCCCTCCATCACTCCAGCTACTACGGACAGGACAACCCACGATACAGGTCGGTGTTATCACTGATCTCTTGTATGGTATATCCAGGTTGTATAGCTGTATGTAGATCTATTCAGCACGTTAAATATCTTTACTTTGAATTATTTTTAGTGCAGTCCTATTACGTGTCTGTAAGCGTGGGCACATAGCATGTAGTAAACATTTGTTTCATTGCCTGTTCGGTTACTGCATCGTTCCTTCTTTATTTTGCTATTATTCAGTTGAGGATTACCTTAGTTTGACAAATAGTTCACTGAACTTAACTTTCTTATCAGCAATAAACCCCCAAAACACCAGTCAATAGTAAAATACATCGTACTGCGCAACATTGTTGATATTTGTATCAAATGACAATAGTGAAATACACGCAGTTATGACTTTACGTCTGTTCTTTTTAGTTTCTCATGTAGGGATGGTAATTATCATGTATTGGGAATACTTGTTTGATCTTGCATGTCTTTGTCCATATATGACTGCCGTTAAACAGCCTAGAAACTTACTATTAAATAATAAACCCCAAGACACATACCATGGGCCTATATATTCGTCTATGAAGTGGTGTCACTTTCATCATCTATCCCAAATATGGTACAACTGGTTTTCAAAATATCACCCTGGTAGGAGCTAGGCCTTCAGGTGGAAAGAGGTGTTTCCCTGAGTACTGAGGCAGAGGGAGGGTAGAGCTACTGTTCGTGTGTGTGTGTGGGGTGGGTGGGTGGGGTGGGTGGGGTGTGTGTGTTTGGCTATATGAAGTCGGGCGTCAATTGTTCTAGGTGGCAGTAGTAATAGGCGTGATGGAACCAGAAGTAAAACATGATACAAGGACCCATGGATCCACAGAAAGGAAGGAGATAGTAAAGTCGAGGGGTTAGTTTTACTCCGTTTTTCACCTCAATATGTTGGTGTTTCTGTCCAGGTTCTCTCTCCTCTCTCACCACTTCTAACACCACTGTAGCTGTAGCTAGTACCTCGCCGGGCAGAACACAGAGACAACCAGGTGATTGTAGCCACACTTTGTGTTTATCATTGTTTTCTTTGCCGCACGCTACTTTCATTACAATGTTTACTACTTGTCAGTATCGGTCAACAGTCTGGTGTAATGTGTCGGTACCTGTCGAACAACTATACACAAGCAAATATTTTGAAATAAATCTTGGTTTATATTTGTTTGCATCTTAAATTACGTATGTATGTCTGGAAGGGATGTGGCCCCCACATCTGTGTAGAATGGTGACGAGCTTCACTAAAGGATATATACCTGGATAACCCCATTGTATAATCATTTATATTCCTAATCCGTGACACTTCTTTCCCAGACGGTGACAGTAGTACAGTTGCTGTTGCTGTGGGGTGCGTGTTTGCTGTCATTGTTATCGCTGCTCTCATCGTCATAGTTATCTTCATTATGCTGAGGTAAGGTCAATCCGTTCATACACCATGAATACACACTGCCCTCTCCGAGGTCATCAAATACAACACGATGTGCCATGATTTGGATAACTGTCGCTCTGTAAAGTCTGTACTCTAGTATCTATTGGGTTGAGTCTTATCACTGCTGTGAACCCAGCTTTCAGCCTTAGAGGCCGTGTCTAGTTATCCTGTCTTGATCTTGACTACAAGTTGTCTGTAGTGGTGGATTGCATCGCTGTGGTGGAGTGCATCTCTGTGGAGTGCATCACGGTTTTCTGTCCTTTTAAAATAGTGCCTCAATCTGAAAGTGTGGATTCGAATCCCGGATGGGACTTAACCTTCAAAAAGTACTACAATATGTACTTCACCGAAAAAGTGTACCCCAGAATATAGAATATGTTTATTGAAATGTTGATCACTGCAATGTTAACACCCTTCCCGGTTTAACTGATCTTTACAGATACCATTAAACGATATCTCCCACAAGTGTTTTAGATTGTGCATGTATACATATTGCAGAAGGAAGAGACTGAAACCCTATCTCAGCTCAACACAGAAGCCAAGCAATGGACGTAAGGAAGACGAAGCCCATGAGATGCCGCGCTACGTGACAGATGTACCATACTGTACCACCGCTGACCAGATACGTCGACCACCCAGTGCCGAGTATGCTGAACTGCACGCTCACGGAGCAATCAAAGTTTACAATGTCAAGGTCAGTGTGGCGAATTCAGATGGAAGAGATCAAAGTTCTAGTTTAAGCGCTACCCCGGGTTCGGCTGTACCATACACTTCAAAACGACTGGAGGAACTGTACGCCAAAGTCATTCCTAAGAAATTCAGGTCAACGAAGAACCGAGATGAAGTGAAAGACAAATCAACGAAAGACGAAACAATAAGAGACAAATCAGTGAGAGACGAGTCAGTGAGAGACAAGTCAGTGAGAGACAAATCAGTGAGAGACGAATCAGTGAGAGACGAGTCAGTGAGAGACAAGTCAGTGAGAGACAAGTCGGTGAGGGACAAGTCAGTGAGAGACAAATCAGTGAGAGACAGTGTCCACGCTTACGACAATGCTACCGAGGAGCAAGTGACAAAGCAGCGACCAGTCAGTAAAGGTGGAAGACATGTAAGTGAACCTGACTATCAGGAAATAGGTGAGGTGTCTGAACATACAACTAACCTACAAGCTGTACAGGATCCCCCCGTGTTCCTTCCTCACCCCCCTCCATCATCTCCATCTTCTGATCAAGGTCTTCCTGTCCCGGAGACGTCGGAGGGAGCCGACAGAGATGTCGAGGAAATGAAGTCCGATCAGAAGAAGAGGACGAAGAACAAGAGGAGAGAACGAAGCAAATCATCAGACAATGGTGTGTCTTCCAAGGAGAAGAAAAGGAAGAAACGTAAAGGAAAGATTTCCAAATCAGAGAAAGAGAAATCAAACATTCAGTATGAAGAAATTGAAATCCCTTCTGTCTATAAAGAAGGTTCTGTGGATCCTGCAAATGCATCAACGTCCCCCTCGACAGACTCCGGTAATACGGACAACGTGATGGTGGACAATGACCTGTACGAGGGAGGTCCAGCCGACGGTCAACACACGGAGAGTTCCGGTGGTCAGCGTCCACAGAGTCAGCACTATGAGGACATCAGGCGCGGCGCTCACTCCGCACTGACGCATGTTAACATTGACATGAATCCTGGTCGGCCTCCTCCATATGAAGAAGTGACGATTTGAAATCCCACTAAGCCGAGAAGGTCAACAAACTGTCTGACTGAGTTTTAGTTTTAAGCCGCTTTTAACAATATTCCAGCAACATCACGGTGAGGGACATCAGAAATGGGTTTCACACATTGTACCCATATGGGGATTCGAACCCGGGTCCTCGGCAGAAGGTCAACAAAGGCCCCAGTGATGTGAGACTACTCACCACAAGGTGGTCTCAGGTATCAAGTTGTAAATCCCAAACGAAATACTGGTTTACGTGTTCTGACCGGGAACAGCATAATATGTATATAAATTGTGTAACAGAGGCAATGCTGAAAGTTAAGACTTACGATATTGAAATGAGATTTCATTGCATAACAACCTTGCCCATGCATTGTTCTGTTGGTGTATAAAACCAATTAAGTGACCTCGTACGACAGACATGGGACCATATGTGACTCGGAGTGCCTACGATGGCGTGTCTATGTGTACATGTGTCTTTACACATGCATGAGATATATTAAAACCATCTACTATTTATATATATATATAAATAAAAACAATACCATTGTCGACGAATAACAACACCTTTGTGGACGATATTTCTAGACGACAATGCTGTGTAAAGATATAACATCACTGGACAAGAAAACAGTCTTAAATATCCACAGACACAGGTTTAGTTTGGTATGAAGGGTAAAGACTTGTTTGATGAACTTGTACAATATAGCGCCCTGGAGTCGGTTTGAAACAGTATTACACTGGTTGGATCACACGTGTTACTTTCCGACCACTGACTATGTATTACACTGGTTGGATCACACGTGTTACTTTCCGACCACTGACTATGTATTACACTGGTTGGATCACACGTGTTACTTTCCGACCACTGACTATGTATTACACTGGTTGGATCACACGTGTTACTTTCCGACCACTGACTATGTATTACACTGGTTGGATCACACGTGTTACTTTCCGACCACTGACTATGTTACTTTCCGACCACTTACACTGGTTGGATCACACGAGTTACTTTCCGACCACTGACTATGTATTACACTGGTTGGATCACACGTGTTACTTTCCGACCACTGACTATGTATGTATTACACTGGTTGGATCACATCACACGTGTTACTTTCCGACCACTGACTTGCTTTGGATCCGACCACTGACTATGTATTACACTGGTTGGATCACACGTGTTACTTTCCGACCACTGACTATGTATTACACTGGTTGGATCACACGTGTTACTTTCCGACCACTGACTATGTATTACACTGGTTGGATCACACGTGTTACTTTCCGACCACTGACTATGTATTACACTGGTTGGATCACACGTGTTACTTTCCGACCACTGACTATGTATTACACTGGTTGGATCACACTTTCCGTGTTACTTTCCGACCACTGACTATGTATTACACTGGTTGGATCACACGTGTTACTTTCCGACCACTGACTATGTATTACACTGGTTGGATCACACGTGTTACTTTCCGACCACTGACTATGTATTACACTGGTTGGATCACACGTGTTACTTTCCGACCACTGACTATATTACACTGGTTGGATCACACGAGTTACTTTCCGACCACTGACTATGTATTACACTGGTTGGATCACACGTGTTACTTTCCGACCACTGACTATGTATTACACTGGTTGGATCACACGTGTTACTTTCCGACCACTGACTATGTATTACACTGGTTGGATCACACGTGTTACTTTCCGACCACTGACTATGTATTACACTGGTTGGATCACACGAGTTACTTTCCGACCACTGACTATGTATTACACTGGTTGGATCACACGTGTTACTTTCCGACCACTGACTATGTATTACACTGGTTGGATCACACGTGTTACTTTCCGACCACTGACTATGTATTACACTGGTTGGATCACACGAGTTCTTTCCGACCACTGACTATGTATTACACCTTTCTGGATCACACTAAGTATTACTGACAAATCAAACGTGCTATGAACAGAGAGTATTTATAAAACATCATCTAACCTACCAGTCTGTGTTATGCCATTGCTATGTCTTTCAGTGTATGTCTTCCGTATCTAATTAAACTAATACCACACCTATACACTACAGTGCTGTCCGTATTCTTTGAGGATTGTGTGCACATCAAGATATGAGGTCATGTATGCAATGTGCAAGGATGCAAGTCCGCTTCGTGCGCGAATGTGATTTAGCTTTCAGCATCTTCAGGTATAAAATGTGTACATAATGTATTAATTATCGATAACTATGAAGGGTTTGAACGTTCTGTTAATTACGCAGTCTCATATTCCAGGCACGCATAACGAACCACGTTTAATCATTAAGAAAGGGCACGGGAATATCAGACTGATTTCTTCCACAGCTCACTGGATGCACAGTTGAACACTAATTGATCGTACCCAGTCTTGCTTGTTGTGTAACATGTAAACAAACCTATAGCAACTGACGGGTTATATTTCAGTCTGTACAGTAGACTCATAACAGATTCGAAATGAGATCACCATGACCTCAATGATTGGGTAGGATAGCAAGTAAACCGAGCTGAGGTCCAGGGGTAAACTCCAAGTGAAATATTGACGCGGACCCACTTACACAAAACGATGTTCGTGCTACAGTCATTATTGGTCGAGACTAAGTACAAGGGAATCACTAAAGATTAATGGGTTTGGTACGTAGCTGGTCACTGCAAGCTGTCTATATATAGACTACATAACTTCAACAATTTGCCCAACATGATTCCACTGGGCCTCATGAGGGCAGTAATAGCTGTACACAGCAAACAAACCTGCATATGTAATGTCAAAACAGGGCATTAGGTACGGTGGGGAAGCGTATGGTTCAAAACGTTTCTTCTTCTGTTGGAAGGCCATTGTTGGTCTTCTCTCATGGGTACAATATCGCCGGAACATTCCTGCTAAAAATTGAAGACATTCAAATGTGCATTATGAAACCTTAGAAATGTAGTAGCGGATATGGGTGAATGTTGGTGGGTGGGTGGATGGAGCGCACACAACACAACGCTACTCGTGGTCACAGATGACAGCCACTTTATTTATCCATTAAAAAGGAATGTTTGGAATAACTCTGAAAATATCCTTAATATAACTAAGTATTTGAACATAAAGGTATAACATGTAGTACAATGTCTATATAGTCTTAGAATACAGCTAGCCCAGACAAAGCACGTACTAGCATAAATACATCTTTAAATATAAATAGCAACATGAAAACTATTCATACATACATATATCATTTATGGCATTCAATGAATATATTACAAATATACATGAAGAAACTATATAGAGTTTATTACATACAAGATCATAAAATACACTTACCCCTGTGTGGCAATGAGTGTACACACGCTCATCAAGCTCATCAAGGATCATCAATCATCATGGATCATTCTAAGAAATGTTAAAATACAACCTTGATAATACTAATAATGGTATATAAAATAAGTTATAATAAAAGCAACAAATCTCACATCCACCCTCACTATTTCATACCACATTCATATGATTATACATTTACACAATATGTTAAGTCATAATTTAGTGTTCATTAGGCTTAGACTGGTATTTACCTACCTCATACGCCATGTTCAATGTAAATAGCTAATTGATATTTATTGATATAATTTAGATAAATTACACTTCCAACCAACTGTACTGATGGTTGGAAAACAATAGATACATTTATCTACACACCGATGCATTAATGTAACACTTCTTTAAGAAATACACTATATACAACACCATATATACACATACAATATATGCACTGACTTGAATAATAAGATCCTCATTACAATCCAGAAATACTCCACAAAACACAAATCATAGTGATCTGATCCTCCAGAAAGATCTAAGTGACTGCCAACAGGTTATGTGTGACAGCCACCTTAAAACTAAACAGACAATAGGTGGCAAGCTGACCAGAGAAACTGAGGCGGAGGGACAAAAGAAGCTTGTGCAGAGTGTAAGAGTATGGATCAGAACCTGGCCTGACCCAGTAGGGTGGCTATTGTTAATTGAGTAATTGCATAAGTGCAGGGATACATTTAACTGAGAGGGTTTGTTATATTTTATCTGTAAACATAAAATATGATACCTATACAACATACAATAACTATATACAAGTACTTAAAATTGAAACTTATAAACTATGAAACTAATAATGATTAAAACATGACTTGGCCACAGAAAGATGCATGTCGAGGCATGCAGCACCGTATATAATGATACTACTAAAATAATAATAGTCAATATATAAAGCACATTAAGCGATGCCAAGTGCATGCTCTAAGAGCACAATGAGTTTAGACAGAAAGTCAGTCAGTTTGAAACAGCTTGGTCTCAAGGTGAGCTTTGATGAAACCAAACGTTGGACATTCTCAGATATGAACCATACAATCCTTGCCCACTTATTTCAGTGATGCGATATCACCGCTATTTTCACTCTTGCGCCCACTGGAATATTTTGCTTTTTATTTGTGTTTTAAGTGTTAGTGATGTAAGTACTCACACTGACACAATTTCAACACTCCCACAGAGCGGTGTCGGGAAGGCAGTTGTGTTATTGATGGTGTGATGCATGATGAAACTGATGGCGACAGACAGCATGTTATTACTGCAGGGGAACTGACGCCATCTACACCCGTTGAGCCTCCTGCTCTGTATTTACACGATCATATTTCCGGTTAATGGTTACCTGCCATTGGTTGATGGGAGAGTCAACATAAACATTAAAATACGCCCTTTTCCAAATGGCAAGGAGAGCTTCTTTCAACGTGGGTTAGTCAGAAAACAGTACATGTTGACAATGGTGTAGCCACATGCCATACATCGCCAGACTATACATGACCCCTGTGCGATGAAGAAGGTGTCGGCTTGTTTGGGCCCAGTCTTCACACCCTACATCCGGCACGTCAGGTCTGTGTTGTGCTCGTCGATGCGATAGGAAATCACGACTTACCATGAAATATGAAAGATATATATTTTCCTCAAATATGTTTCTGAATGAATTTAACAATAGTTTCTCACACACATTGTCATGACATAGGGTGGTAGTGGTTGTCCAGACAAACAGACACACAGTTACTCTCAGTCGATGGAGCAAGACTAGAACTGATGATCATGTGTGTGAAAGCTTGGCGTGGATCACGTGTGATGAATGTTGATGAATGTAGAATCCGGGCTGAAGCCTGAGTCTGATTTAACGTCGGGCAATCTTCCAGCTATATTACAGCATGTCTGCTTGGGAGGAATATCAGAAGAGATTCAAGTCAAATATATTTATCACTTTAAAGGCGAAACTCGTAAGAGCTGGTGTGATGCTGACAAACCCTAAACAAACAATGGCGGCCAACCAATAAACATAGGTTCCTGGGCCCGGTTTCACAAAGCTCTCGTAGCGCTACGACTACCGTAAGTCAATGTACAGTATGGGAGGTACGAATGCTACGAGAAAAGTTACGAGATCTTAGGCTTACGAGAGCTTTGTGAAACGAGGCCCTGGTGTGTCCAAGGGCCGCAGTCCTGCACACAGAATTGTGGATGGGGTGGTTAGAGGGTTGATGCACTGAATAGACAGCAGTTTGGTTGGGTAGATTGTAGAGGTACTGGGTACAGGATGGGGAAGAGGGCTGAAGGTAGTTTGAGAGGGTAAAGGGTCGATGGAGAGGGTAGATGGTGACGCAGAGGTATTGGGTTGAGAGTAGATGTAGACGGTTGAGGTCGAGGCTGCCGGAGATACATACAAAAGGAGCAGTCCTGCTGCATGGATTCCCACACATTACCTCTAGTACCACGTGCTTGTGATGAGCACCGACCGGTTACAGTGTTCGTATGTGAGCTGGCAGGGTGTGTGTCATCGTACATGGTGCTGCCCTGCCAACACCTGATCACTTACCGACGCCATAACACCGGTATCCTGTTGTCTGCCTCGTTACACAGCAATCTTGCTGCAATACTCGCACACCCGCCCCAGACTGTATAGACGTCATATAACATATAGATATCTTGCTGCAATACTCGCACACCCGCCCCAGACTGTATAGACGTCATATAACATATAGATATCTTGCTGCAATACTCGCACACCCGCCCCAGACTGTATAGACGTCATATAACATATAGATATCTTGCTGCAATACTCGCACACCCGCCCCAGACTGTATAGACGTCATATAACATATAGATATCTTGCTGCAATACTCGCACACCCGCCCCAGACTGTATAGACGTCATATAACATATAGATATCTTGCTGCAATACTCGCACACCCGCCCCAGACTGTATAGACGTCATATAACATATCGATATCTTGCGTTAATTATCTTTAACCCTCTAGTTCCATACACATCACGATGTAATTAAATATACTCCCGATAATGGTCTTATAATCACATACATCAAGCACGTTTAAACATGTTGTACTGGCGGAGCAAGTCTGACTTCAAACATCTCTGTAATACAAAAGGAAACAGTGATCCCAGATGATAACGTGGATTAGACAGCAGACACTGGAGCTCGACGCCATTATTGACAACAGTGTATGAGTAGATGTTGGAGGAACAGGCAAACATCTGATCTCTATGTTACTGGTGATGCTGTATACTACTTGTGAGAAGATGACGGCCTCATTGTGTCACTTGATGCTGGTCATGTTGGCCTTTATGGAGTGTAAGTCTGTCTGTCGTGGAGCAGATGCACTCCGTTAAAGCATGGTCAGTGTACGTTGTCAAACACTGGGTCATATCTCCGTGACAACCTAGTCACATTATAGAACGTTGGTCATAGGAGTTATATGATTCTCAAATGTTTCCAAGATATTTTCAAACTACTGAATCTTTCTTTTAGACATTTAGACTCCATGACTGAAGAAAATAAAATCCATATGCAAAAGAAGTTAGAGTGAAGCCAAGAAAACTGTGTGAAACCAATTCACATTTGCATTCTATAAGTAACTAAGTATACAAATCATTACTAATTAGTGCAAAGCACTCTACAATGTCAGTACGCATTGGATGAACAGGCAAGGCAATGGCGGCGGTATTACACAGCAGTGTTCATAGCTATGACGTCCATGACAGTTATCTGGCACCGACAGTGGTCAAGGCTTCAAAACTGCCCTCTTCTACATACCCAGGGGTGAAAATATGATGTACACATTGATGTATTGTGTTATGATGTAATCACGCCTACCCATGTAGTCTATTAATTTCTAGACGGGCCAGTACATCGCTGTGTGCAGCCGTTCTCCACCATTGCTGATTACACAAACCAAAGTTTCTAAACATAGCCACATCCATACCATAGTTATATCTGATACTAATACATTCCCGGAAAATAATAATCCTTAAAACTCATCAAAGACCATGTAATGCAATCTTGTGTACCCTCCTCGCGCGTCGAAGACACAGGTGCACCTTGTTCTCATGCTCCCTATCAAGTTCATAAAGAAAGCTTGCGGAATTCCATTCCTCTACTAGAGCTCTGCGGAGTCCTCTGAGATCCACTGGTGCTGGGTGACGTGTGTACACACGTCGACCGAGTTCATCCCAGGCATGCTCAATTGTCCCGATAACACTACCGTCGACCACATGCAGAGGAGTGCGTCCATTAGGAGTTATCCCAAATCGTGACTGACCCTGCCAAATCGGTTGTGCGTGGCCACAGTTGGAATGGTGATTCGCTCTCCATTGCGGCGATACATCCTCTGCCGGCCATCATGGGAGGACAAACTGAATCTGCTTTCATCTGTGAAGAGCACACGAGACCATTGACGTTGATTCCAGCGTCCATGATGTCTATTCCATCTAAAACGCGCCTGCCTGCGACGTGGTGTTAGTGGTGAACGAACTGCAGGTCGCCTACAGCGGTGTCAGGCTGCCTTTAATCGTTGACGAACGATGCTCCTGGATATCCTTACATTTTAACATCCAAGTCTTCTGTCTGAAGATCTGCTGCGTTAAGTAACACAGTATTCATCATGTGCCTATCATCTCGGACTGTTTGTACTGTTTGGTTGACGTGCATATTCCACGTATGCATTGGCTTGAAATCTCTGCCACAGTCTACCAATAGCACTCTGACTCACATTAAAGCGGACAGCAACCTGCCGCTGAGTTTGACCAGATTCCAAAAGGCCTATAGTTGACCCCTTTCAGTCTCATTTTAAGGTGCGATTTCAAACAGGTTCCTGAACAGTGAACAACAGTGAAAAATCATCATTGCATGTGTATTGTCCTCCACCTTCCATGGATAGAGTGACTCGCATGTGTATTGTCCTCTTCTACCTTCCATGGATAGAGTGACTTTGTATGTGTATTGTCCTCCATCTTCCATGGATAGAGTGACTTGCATGTGTATTGCCTTCCACCTTCCATGGATAGAGTGACTTGCATGTGTATTGTCCCCCACCTTCCATGGATAGAGTGACTTGCATGTGTATTGCTTTCCACCTTTCATGGATAGAGCGACTTGCATGTGTATTGTCCTCCACCTTCCATGGATAGAGTGACTTGCATGTGTATTGCCTTCCACCTTTCATGGATAGAGCGACTTGCATGTGTATTGCTTTCCACCTTCCATGGATAGAGCGACTTGCATGTGTATTGTCCTCCACCTTCCATGAATAGAGTGACTTGCATGTGTATTGCCTTCCACCTTCCATGGATAGAATGACTTGCATGTGTATTGTCCTCCATCTTCCATGGATAGAGTGACTTGCATGTGTATTGTCCTCCATCTTCCATGGATAGAATGACTTGCATGTGTATTGTCCTCCATCTTCCATGGATAGAGTGACTTGCATGTCAAGTCATTGACATTAAGAGGCAGGTGGATTTCCATATTGACAATTTCAATGAAAAAATTGCCATTTGTAACAGAACGTATCGGACGTTGAAGAACGTGATATTGACATCTCTACGGTCTGTTGTGCTTTTCCATACTGTTAAGAAAGTTAAAACATTCAGTTGTATATATTTCAAACAAAACAGAGATTTTACAAGTCTTTAGAAATAGTGTTAATGACGCCGAGTAGGGTGAGCTATTGCCTTTCCTCTCACATTACATCTGAAGCCACGAGAGGCCCAGCTCGGTATGGGATAATTATACCCTGGATACTCTCAGCCTAACTCCTTCAACCTTTGGATTACTGTCGCTGACAGGAGACTATATATATTACCACCATGGTCTGTATTGCTGTGATGTCTGCTGTTGTGTTATACCGTATTGCTACACAAGTTGTACTGCCACACAAGTTGTACTGCATTAGTGATACCTTTGTATTGATTTGTACTGATTTGTTTATTTTGAATACAATTGTTTATTACAACACATTTCTGTGTTGCTTGTTAGTTTCCTGCACGGTTAGTTTCCTTCGGACGGATTCTCGGTTAACGATTTAGTTTCGACTTGGGAATTAAAACTAAACAATATGCATATGTACAATATTGGTGTAGCTCGTTGCGTCTGCAGGTTTATAAACCATTAGTGTGACGCCAATGCGTCTTCATAATAGATGTTTTTATAAAAGGTCAAGGTCGCAATGCGAGTTCTTGTGTGACTAACTCCCAGACGGCAGTGAACCTAACATGTGAGGGGTCACAGAGGATCCACGTGATCAGCAAGTTCTACCAGAAGGCCACAAGCACCTGTGAGGAAGCGCCAACCGGCTGTACCTACACGGAGGACGCCCCAGCTACCACGTGTAACGGGGTGTGGCACTGTGGAGAAGAGGTTACAATGTTCTGGATAAACCAGACATGTGGAAGCAGCACCGCACTGGCGACTGTTGTCTACGAATGCATTGCAGGTACGTCAGATCAGTGTGTTGGGTCGTTTCTCTTGCTATCAACCGCTGATTTGCCTATTCAAACATAGAAATGTGTTGGGTTTTAATTTCCTGGATGGTGGTATTTCAGAAACCCCCATCAACATCTGCAACGTCACAACCGTGTCGCGTGACAACATGCTATATTTTGCCTCCCCAACTTACCCACGTGGTTCCGGGAACATGAAAACCAACGGCACATGCGTTTGCGACATCACGGGAACGATGATGAAAGTCGACATCCTGGAGGTCGTCTTCCGAAACACGGGTCACGGAATAAGAGGCAGACTGGTTGTGATCGGAGACACGGCGGCCTGGACGACAGACGACCTCGTCCCTGTCGTGTTCAATAAAGAAATAATCAGTTATACAGAAAAAATCAAGGTTGCCTTTAACGACTTTGGGCAGATCAGCCAGGATATGTGGCTTAAAGTTTCAGGTGACTGTACTCTCAATTTCCTGCAAACATCCTCACCGTTGTCATCATAATCATCACCATGATAATCCATTATAATCCATGCTACTCTAGTACCGTTATCATCATCACACTATTGTCATCACTATCACTATCATTATTATAATCAGAATCATCACTATCATCATCACACGATAATACTCACTATCATCATCATCACCACCACCACCATCATCATCACCACTATCATCACACGATCATAATCACTATCATCATCATCACCACAACCATCATCATCATCATCATCATCATCATCATCATCATCATCATCATCATCATCATCACACAATCATCAAACGATCATAATCACTATCATCATCACCACCACCACCATCATCCTCATCATCATCATCATCATCATCACAATCATCACCACTATCATCATCGCTGTCATCATTACCACCGTAATCATCATCACATTATCATCATCATCATCATCATTACACTTTCAGTATCATCACCACTGTCATCATCATTACCACTATTATCATAATCATAATCACACTCTCATCATCATACCCGTGGAGGTCTGGGTTGGAATTGGCCTTCAATAACTGATGCTTGTCGTAAAAAGCGACTAACGGGATCGGGTGGTCAGGCTCGCTGGCTTTGGTGACACATGTCATCGGTTCCCAATTGCGCAAATCGATGCGCATGCTGTTGATCACTAGATTGTCTGGTCCAGACTAGATTATTTACAGAATGCCGCCATATAGCTGGAATAGTGCTGAGTGCGGCGTAAAACTAAACTTCTTCACTCTCACATTCGCGTCATCAGACTGTCATCATCAGCATACTATTATCATCAGCTTAGGTAACTAAACTTAGGCTCAGTATTATTCGCTACACTGCTATACTGAGTCTACCAAACCCTAGTAGAAGGTTGCGTCAGCTAACCTTTGAGCGACCTATGACCGTCCAATCAAACGCGAGACGGAACGGATTTAACCAGTCAGACAACGACTACTTGCTGGGGTTCGGCGGGCTTACAAAACGGTGTTTGGATTTTCTCTTCCGTGGTCGCTGACACTGATCTATCAACAAACGAAAATCCGCATAAAAAACAGGTATTTGACCTGCAGTATATACGCTCAGGGGTTTGTAATGCCATGGTTACTATTAGCTTATATTTCCACAAGATGACATTCTTGAATATTGACAAAAACGGCTTTTTTGCATCCTCCATGTGTATCACTCGGAAGCGATCGTGCGGAAAATGGCATTCGAGCTTTTGAGGTAAAGGTTCAAACGGTATGTGTGAATGTTAACTTTCGCGATTTGGTAAGCTGTGTTCTGATTGGTCAGTCCAAAAGGTTAGCTGGCGCGACCATCTACTAAGGTTTGTTAGACTCTGTATAGCAGTGTAACGAATAATACTGAGCATAAGTTTACATAGATCTAAGACTGACTATTATCATCGTCACCACACTATCATCATCATCACTATCATCATCACACGATGAACATCAGCATACTATTATTATCACTACCACTATCATCATCATCACCACTATCATCATCACCACTATCGTGATCATCACTATCATCATCACCACTATATCATCATCACCACTATCATCATCACATCGTGATCATACTATCATCATATCATCATCACTGTGAACACTATAATCATCACTACCACTATAATCATCATCACCACTATCATCATCACCACTATCGTCATCACAACTATCGTCATCATCACTATCATCATCCCCACTATCATCATCATCACCACTATAATCATCATCCCCACTATCATCATCATCATCACCACTATCGTCATTACCACTATCGTCATTATCACTATCATCATCACCACTATCATCATCACACCGTGAACATCAGCATACTATTATCATCACTACCACTATAATCATCATCACCACTATCATCAGCACCACCACTATCATCATCATTACCACTATCATCATCATCACCACTATCATCATCATCACCACTATCATCATCACCACCACTATCATCATCATCACCACTATCATCATCATCACTACCACTTTAATCATCATCACCACTATCATCATCACCACCCGTATCATCATCATCATCACTATCATCATCATCACCACTATCGTCATCACCACTATCGTCATCATCACTATCATCATCACCACTATCATCATCACACTGTGAACATCAGCATACTATTATCATCACTACCACTATAATCATCATCGCCACTATCATCATCACCACTATCATCATCACACTGTGAACATCAGCATACTATTATTATCACTACCACTATCATCATCATCACCACTATCGTCATCACCACTATCGTCATCATCACTATCATCATCACCACTATCATCATCACACTGTGAACATCAGCATACTATTATTATCACTACCACTATCATCATCATCACCACTATCATCATCACCACCACTATCATCATCATCATCACTATCATCATCATCACTATCATCATCACACTGTGAACATCAGCATACTATTAGCATCACTACCATTATCATCATCATCACTATCATCATCATCACCACTCTCGTCATCATCGCTATCATCATCATCACTATCATCATCACACTGTGAACATCAGCATACTATTATCATCACTACCATTATCATCATCATCACTATCATCATCATCACCACTCTCGTCATCATCGCTATCATCATCATCACTATCATCATCACACTGTGAACATCAGCATACTATTATCATCAGTACCATTATCATCATCATCACCACTATCATCATCATCACCACTATCGTCATCACCGCTATCATCATCATCACTATCATCATCACACTGAGAACATCAGCATACTATTATCATCACTACCATTATCATCATCATCACCACTATCCTCATCATCACCACTATCGTCATCACCGCTATCATCATCATCACTATCATCATCACACTGTGAACATCTGCATACTATTATCATCACTACCACTATAATCATCATCATCACTATCATCATCATCACCGCTATCATCATCATCACTATCATCATCACACTGTGAACATCAGCATACTATTATCATCACTGCCAATATCATCATCATCACTATCGTCATCATCACCACTCTCGTCATCACCGCTATCATCATCATCACTATCATCATCACACTGTGAACATCAGCATACTATTATCATCACTACCACTATAATCATCATCACCACTATCGTCATCATCACTATCATCATCACCACTATCATCATCACACTGTGAACATCAGCATACTATTATTATCACTACCAGTATCATCATCATCACCACTATCATCATCACCACTATCGTCATCATCACTATCATCATCACCACTATCATCATCACACTGTGAACATCAGCATACTATTATCATCACTACCATTATCATCATCACCACTATCATCATCATCACCACTATCATCATCACCACTATCATCATCATCACTATCATCATCATCACCACCATCATCATCATCATTATCGTCATCACCACTATCATCATCACCACTATCATCATCATCACAACTATCATCATCATCACCACTATCATCATCATCATCACCACTATCATCATCATCACCACTATCATCATCATCACCACTATGATCTTTGAGTGCGTTTAGAAGCTGGTGTGATGAACAACGGGGAATGTTCTATGGACATACAATTATAGTAAATATGTTGTACAGCCATGAAACTTTTGTTGTTCATCACCCCTATCATCATCATTTACGCGAACGCTTTACCACCACTGTTATCTATATTTCATTTTGCCCAGGCGAGTATGTACAGTCCTGCGTCAGTATGTTTAGTGTATTATAGGATGACTTCCCGTCATAATCAACATTCAAATATTTGGTTTGCTTGATTTACAGTTAGACAGGGGCTGTTTTTCAAGGACACCCCATTTTAATCTTTCAAAAACATTGTGTTCAGATATTCAAGCTGGCAGTTTTTACAATATATTGTCAGCTGACACTTGTGTGACCATTCAGTATTTAGTTTGAACCTTTGGCATCATGTATGAATAAGTGAAAACATTAGAATATGCTATGCCCTTATGATTACGTCATCTGAAAGGGGCTGGATAGTTTCTTCAAAACAAGCTCTTTCAGTAAACATGGAGAAGCAGCCACTATAAGCGATTATAGTTTCAGATTGCATTTTTATGCGCTTTAATATCTAAGTTTGATTCAAGCGGAATTTCTACCTGTCTCAAACACACAAATATTTCTTGCATATTTTGTTTCCTGAAGTTCATGATGCATTTATTGCAGATTTTGCGTTTTTTAGGGTACGAAGATAAATGGAAAACCAAATTGGGATCGTGAGGCTCGAACATAGCAAAACCAATTTGCTGGAGGTTGACAGATGACATGTAGGAAAATAAAACATAAAAACAACTACAATTGTATCATTTTCAACTACTTGTGGAACCGACTTTCGTGCCAGTAATAGGCTGTGTTTCCATAGAAACAGTACGCTTGTAGAGGCCAAAAGATTTGATTTTAATACAGTTACATGTCTGTGCTATACATCAGCATCATCTTCTGTTTGGGTCACAATGGGTCACAATCACGATGATTGTTTCTTAAGTAACTTTTCTATTTTGGAGACAAACGTTATGAAACTGGTCTGATGTTTTCATTTCATTCTGAGCTGAAATGAATGCTTGATCATGAGTCGATTTTGAGTTAGAATGTGATTCAACAGTATATGATTTTGATCCAAACAGACTATGGTATGCTTAACACATTGAGGGTACACATCCCTGTATTCCAATCTAGAACGTATTAATGCAAACATCTTGAAATCTGTTACCTAAGAAAGCATATATCTGCATTGCATTCAGGGTCTTCCAGGATGACAGCAACCTGTTACCATGGAGACGACAACATAACGGTACCGTCCTTCACGACGCTGGCCCCGGCTGGGACAGGTCAGTAGAAGGCAGAGAATGCCTTTCGGGTATTACGCTGTACACAGGGGACATATATTTGATGATTTTATATTCTTATGACACATTGTCAGACATTATGGATAACGACTCATCTCTGAGCTGTGCAGAGTTGTTTCCCTTAGATATGTCAGAATCAGGGGTTCGGATCCAACTTTCACCCTGATTATGGTTCATGGTTTGTTAGTCACTATCCACGCCCATGGGTTTCACAGATGTGGTAAAGATCTGAGACCAGCAACAGTTTTACCTGTACAGTCTAAGTTGGTTCTCCTCAGGATAACTTAATAAAGTCAAACCGGCGTTACAGTTTCCATATGCTGTCAGAGTATATTGATAATGTAGCTTGTATGCTGGATAACTCCCACACACAATATATATTTGACAGCAAGCAACGCGACGCCATCAGCTAACATGACTGGTCCGAGCAAGGAGCCACTGGGACATGGTGAGATTAACTACCAAGTTACTCCATCATCAAGGCGGTCACCAGAAGAAACATATTATGTGAAGGAAAGTTTCAATATATATAAACAAGTGATTTCTGCAGGTGTATAAGCAATAAATATATAAAATATGAGTCCAGATATTTCTTCTTGTCAAATCTCCTTTATAAATATATTTATTTAATGTTGCTATTTTCTTGTTTCAAGAAGCAGGCTTCCAAAAGTCGATTGTCGTCATCACCGTCTCTGCCGCAGTTGGCGCAGTACTGGTCGTCATGGTCATCATGGCTGTCGCAGTCATTGTGTTCCGGTGAGCGTCCAGCAGGGGAATAGAGATGCTTATGTATAGTGTTATATTTACTTAAAGTGATATTATCTAAATATGATGGTAAGGACATGTTCTGTAATTACTACATTGTAACCACACGCTAATTACCCTGCAGGAAGAAGACTATCGGTTCTGAGAAGCAGTACGCCATTGAAGTGACGGAATCCAACGAAGAAATGAAAGAAGTGGAGGACTGTGACATGCCGACCTTCATCATGGATACACTCATGTAGCATAGCAACCGTCGTCATGGATACATGAAGGACAAATACACTCAAGAGAAACCGTGTTCATTGATACACACATGTTACCATACTTCAGTTGTGGCGCTTGAGACATTGGGTGCAGGCATGTTCCATGGTGACATGAACATACTGGTATCTCAGCATTGTTTGGGTGCAGGCATGTTCCATGGTGACATGAACACACTGGTATCTAAGCATTGTTTAGGTGCAGGCATGTTCCATGGTGACACGAACACACTGGTATCACAGCATTGTTAAGGTGCAGGCATGTTCCATGGTGACATGAACACACTGGTATCTCAGCATGTTTGGGTGCAGGCATGTTCCATGGTGACATGAACACACTGGTATCTCAGCATTGTTAAGGTGCGGACATGTTCCATGGTGACATGAACACACTGGTATCTCAGCATGTTTGGGTGCAGGCATGTTCCATGGTAACACGAACACACTGGTATCTCAGCATTGTTTGGGTGCAGGCATGTTCCATGGTGACATGAGCACACACTGTATCACAGCATTGTTTGGGTGCAGGCATGTTCCATGGTGACATGAGCACACACTGTATCACAGCATTGTTTGGGTGGAGGCATGTTCCATGGTGACATGAACACACTGGTATCTCTGCATTGTTTGGGTGGAGGCATGTTCCATGGTGACACCAACACACTGGTATCTCAGCATTGTTTAGGTACAGGCATGTTCAATGGTGACACGAACACACTGGTATCTAAGCATTGTTTAGGTGCAGGCATGTTCCATGGTGACACGAACACACTGGTATCTAAGCATTGTTTAGGTGCAGGCATGTTTCATTGGTGACATGAACACACTGGTATCACAGCATGTTTGGGTGCAGGCATGTTCCATGGTGACACGAACACACTGGTATCTACGCATTGTTTAGGTGCAGGAATGTTCCATGGTGACATGAACACACTGGTATCTCAGCATTGTTTGGGTGCAGGCATGTTCCATGGTGACACCAACACACTGGTATCTTAGCTTGCTAAGGTGCAGGCATGTTCCATGGTGACACCAACACACTGGTATCTCAGCATTGTTTAGGTGCAGGCATGTTCAATGGTGACATGAACACACTGGTATCACAGCATGTTTGGGTGCAGGCATATTCCATGTCAACGTATTTCACTGTGAATACTCACCTTTCATAGACACAGTTGGGAACATTGTTGTGTTATCACATTGTATTTACAGAGTATCGCAGAAATATATGATCTAGTAATTGTAATCCAGATCTATTTTCTGTCCTGAAGTGTGGTTTTATTGTCCATACTGACTGTCATAAACAAGGTACTTATTATGACGTTGATGCCCGATATATGCTTTTTCTTTTGAAAACACGTTTAATCCATTCCTATATGTTTTCGCAGCATTGCAAGTCTGTTAAAAAAGTATCACTCTACCTTCGGAATGAGTGCCCTCATTGAAGAGCATATTGTTTATACCCGTGAATACACTCGCTAATATCCATCGAATGTTCACCTATATAGTTTGTATATATTGGGATGATGTGCTTTTCTCACCTTTATTCAGATGTGGGATCGTTACTTCTACAATAATTGATTTATGTTTTGACTGTAAGGCAGTAACATTGGATCATAGAGATCATTTTGTTGTCACATGATTCCTGTGTTCTGAATGAACCAGCATGTACCGTTTTCTTTGTAAACTTCAGATGGGGCCGATTAGCCTCTGACTGAGTTAGGGATGATACCACGTGTCAATACAAGAGTGTTTGTTTGTTGGTGACCGCTACAGTCAGCAATACTCCACTTAACGAATTCATAACATTATAAACATCAGCCAGCACTGGCCATCTGATCCAGTCCGGCAACTCCCACTGAGGTCATGTTTTATCCCCTAGTGTTGAAGTGGGACATCTATAATCACTGCCAGTCGCATCTAATCACCGTGTTGAGTATATAGTAAAGACTGCATCGCAAAGATTCAAACACAAACATTAACAGATAGATATGGAGCATGGATTCGTGATAATCATTAATACACATGCACATGTATCGGGGTACGAGTGTGTTAAATCACATGCATCATGTAGCATTAGGCGTTTTACTGAGTACTTCGTGTGTGTCTAATGTACTGGAATTTAGCAATGAATGTATGTAAATCAGATTTTTAAATAAGTTGTTTGCTTCTTTGGGGAAATCGATTTCTGTGAACAATGAACGTATTCTGTTCTACAATGATGTCACGCTGACACAAGGTGTTGCTTGGCTAGTAGAGCGGATGGCGGAAACCTTATCAAGCTTACAGTCTGTTGCTGTTGGCGTATCTACTGGTGCAGCTCACCGTTACCTTGGAAACAACTGTCCTCCACCTGCAGTAGTACTTCCCCGTGTATCCCCTAACAATAGTCATGCATGGTGTCTAAATAGGTGATCACACGCATTGGTGTGGGGAAATACATAATTATATACCCTGCATTAAGAAAACACATTTAAGTATAAACGAAGAATTCAAATCCAATTTGTGCAACGTGTTTTTGTTGTCGTTTACCCTGTTTACTCAGTCAGTCAGTCGTGAACATCTCTGAACAAGCCCATACAGGGCATGCTGATCAATACATACCTCTGTACAAGCCCATACAGGGCATGCTGATCAACACATATCTCTGTACAAACCCACACATGGTATGCTGATCAACACATATATCTGTACAAGCCCATACAGGGCATGCTGATCAACCCATATCCCTGTACAAACCCACACATGGTATGCTGATCAACCCATATCTCTGTACAAGCCCATACAGGGCATGCTGATCAACCCATATCTCTGTACAAACCCACACATGGTATGCTGATCAACCCATATCTCTGTACAAGCCCATACAGGGCATGCTGATCAACACATATCTCTGTACAAGCCCATACAGGGCATGCTGATCAACCCATATCTCTGTACAAATCCACAAATGGTATGCTGATCAACACATATCTCTGTACAAATCCACACATGGCATGCTGATCAACACATATTTCTGTACAAATCCACACATGGCATGCTGATCAACACATATCTCTGTACAAGCCCACACATGGCATGCTGATCAACACATATCTCTGTACAAATCCACACATGGTATGCTGATCAACACATATCTCTGTACAAGCCCACACATGGCTGGCTGATCAACACATATGTCTCTGTACAAGCCCATACATGGCATGCTGATCAACACATATCTCTGTACAAACCCACACATGGCATGCTGATCAACACATATCTCTGTACAAGCCCATACATGGCATGTTGATCAACACATATCTCTGTACAAGCCCATACATGGTCAACGTCATTTCAGCGCCCAAAAGGTGCAAGGACGCCTTGCTGCCTTCAACATCCGGTGTCGTCACCCATACCGTAGTCCAAACTACGCGACAGCGATGGGCAGCAAATGGGGCCAATCTTGGCAACAGGACATGGCCAGATGTCATTTTTTCAGATGAATCCAGGTTTACTTATCCTTTGCAGATGGACGTCAACAGATTTATCGACGTTAAGGAGAAAGACTTGCGCCAAACTATGTCCTTGAACATGATCGTTTTGGAGGGGGTGGTGTCATGATCAGACCACAGACCATCAGAGGCTGCAGACCATCCAACAGCTGTTCCTGAGAAATGTGTGTCTTTCAATGCCCCAAAGACTGCGAGCATGTCTTGCAGCGCACGATGGACACAAGCGATATTGACTGCATTTACCCCTCTTTTGTGTGATGTCGTTGTTGCGTCACTGATGTTGTTGTTGACAGGGCATTTTCAGATGAAATTATTTAAGATGTTCACTTAAAACATATCTGCCAGTTAGGTTTATATATATTGAAATTAGTGTGAGTAAAGAAAGTATAAATGTCACATTGCATTTTTAATGGCTTTCAGTATATATGTTTAATGACAATAGTATTTTTAGCGGTACGCCTTTTTGAGATAGCGCATAAGAATAACCTGCCCTTGGCGATCTCTTGCTTTGACTTTCGGCTTTCATCATGTCGTGTAATCGAGAAAATCCTGTAACGTTCTGAGAGGATAATGATGGAGCCTAGCTTTGCTAGCATGCTCGAGAACTGTGTAAGAGCTATATAAAGGCTGGTTGTGGAGCTGTGCGACACGGGAGTTTCACATGATTAGATCTATACACATCTGTCTGCCATCATCACGTTGATCAACATTTCAAGACCGACTGTGCTTGTCTATTCAACTGCTGTCATTGTAAACAACATTCATTCAGTATATATGTTCTCACTATAAACGTGAAGACTCTGGTGAGTTAATATTTTATATTTGTGACCCAATATTTTAGATTTGGGACTCAATTGCATTGTACTAGAAAATATGTATTGTCATTCATTGTAGCTTGCTCGTTGTTTGTTCAATATAAATTATTGGATATTTTAGACTTGTCTGTGTTTTATTTTGCTGGTTTAAAGGGGACTCTTAAACCTTTTGTCACGGCAAATTATTAACCGTAACAAAATATCGTCATACCATGTCATACCATATCGTGACACTTCGTACCTTGTATTATCCCGTCATACCATGTCGTGACTCTTCATACCTTGTATTATATCGTCATACCATGTCATACCATGTCATACCATGTCGTGGCACTTCGTACCTTGTGTTATCCCGTCGTACCATGTCGTGACTCTTCATACCTTGTATTATATCGTCATACCATGTCATACCATGTCGTAACACTTCATGCCTCCCTATACCACGTCACACAATATCAGCGAAGTAGCCTAGTTGTTAAAGTTTTCGTTCGACAAAGGTCCAGGTTTGATTCCCTGCATTGATTCAATTTTACAGAGACCATACACCAGTATATGGAGGTTGGTGTATGGTCACTGATGTGAGAAGCCCATGTATAGTTCTCCTCTGTGTGATACAAGAACAATTGCTTCAGGTGGGGAAAAACTCACTGCATAATTTGTCTCCCAATGCAACGTGAATAACAACATGCAATTATACAAACTGCGTTATACGCCAGCCCGGTCAGCGAGAGCTGAACACGTGACTCACTTCAACCTATTTAGGTCATCTACTGGAGTAATGGCGGTCACCCTGTCGGCTGATCTACTCCCAGAGTTTCTGTCATCTCTGGGGGATGACGCTAGAGCTATCCATGTAGGTACAGTAAATTGTATCGACCTGTGTGCATCGCAAACAATACAGTACTGATGTAACTATGACACCATCACGCAGAGCACGTAATCTAGGGGCCGTCTCACAAAGGGGAATGTCTTGTGTGTGTGTGTGTGTGTGTTGTCAGTATATATGTGTGTACGTACGAGTGTGTCAGTGAGTGTGTGTTGTTAGTGTGCGTGCGTGTATGTGTGCATGAGCGTCTGTGTGTTGATAGTGTGTGAGTGAGTGTGTGCGTGCGTGGGTTTATGTGAGCGAGTGCGTGAGTGTGTCTGTGTTGTTAATGTGAGAACGTGCGTGAGTGTGTGTGTTGGTGCGTGAGTGTGTGTTTGTAAGTACAGGTTTTCCTTGAATAAGTGAGTGAGTTTGGTTTTACGCCGCTTTTAGTAATATTCCAGCAATATCACGGCGGGGGACACCACATATGGGCTTCACATCCCCCTTATTAAACGTCAATATGTGAAACTCAACAGCTTTATGTTTACGTGCATACGGCAGCCTGTCAACTGATGGTGCAATATGTCCTATACAGCAGTGGTTGCACCAGTGTGTACAAAACTGTACATTGTACAGTGATGTGTCGTGTGTAGGTACAGGAGGAATGCGAAGGACTGAACCAAGTTGACATTGGATGCTTGATTGGGAGTATGCCTCGTTGATTCCTAGATAGCCTTGAGAAGAGAGGCGGATTCCAGCGGTATCATTGAGTTTGACTACACCTTGTAAATGATGTGATGGTTTGTTACCAATCGCCAATCATCCAACATAATCTATAGTCATCTGAAGTACGACGACTCCTGCAAATCTTAGTCAGATGTCTCTGTTACACGTTAAACTATTTATCTCAAGATAGAAATCAATAATCATCACTCCTTTTTATTGAATATCCACTGCTTTTGTAATTGGATATAATTAGAATTGTATTACATTTGTTGGGGACAGAAGAATATACAGGCAACACAGGGAGTTTCATGATGTCAAGTGTTATTATGTCGCAATAGGATGTCAAGTGTTATTATGTCGCAATAGGATATCAAGTGTTATTATGTCGCAATAGGATGTCAAGTGTTATTATGTCGTAATAGGATGTCAAGTGTTATTATGTCGTAATAGGATGTCAAGTGTTATTATGTCGCAATAGGATGTCAAGTGTTATTATGTCGTAATAGGATGTCAAGTGTTATTATGTCGCAATAGGATGTCAAGTGTTATTATGTCGCAATAGGATGTCAAGTGTTATTATGTCGCAATAGGATGTCAAGTGTTATTATGTCGTAATAGGATGTCAAGTGTTATTATGTCGCAATAGGATGTCAAGTGTTATTATGTCGCAATAGGATGTCAAGTGTTATTATGTCGCAATAGGATGTCAAGTGTTATTATGTCGCAATAGGATGTCAAGTGTTATTATGTCGTAATAGGATGTCAAGTGTTATTATGTCGTAATAGGATGTTAACGTTCAGCAATGTTCACTTAAATCATTTTTTTCTGTCTTTTATTAGATTCGAGGTGAAATAAATTCAAAGCTGTGTTCCGTGATAACTGACTACGACTTCATCGTCGACCGTTGGCCAGACTACACCGCGGCGGTTGTCCGAGTAGATTCTACCACAGCCAAGGTGAACTGACTACTCACTCACCATACAGCAAACTACCTACTCACCATACACTATAGTACAGAATACCTACTCACCATACACTATAGTACAGATTCATACTCACCATACACTATAGTACAGAATGCCTACTCACCATACACTATAGTACAGACTTCATACTCACAATACATTATAGTACAGAATGCCTACTCACCATACACTATAGTAGAGACTTCCTTCTCTCCATACACTATAGTACAGACTTCCTTCTCGCCATTCACTATAGTACAGACTTCATACTCACCATACACTATAGTACAGAATGCCTACTCACCATACACTATAGTACAGACTTCATACTCACCATACACTATAGTACAGAATGCCTACTCACCATACACTATAGTACAGACTTCCTTCTCTCCATACACTACAGTACAGACTTCCTACTCGCCATTCACTATAGTACAGACTTCATACTCACCATACACTATAGTACAGACTTCCTTCTCACCATACACTATAGTACAGACTTCCTTCTCGCCATTCACTATAGTACAGACTTCATACTCACCATACACTATAGTACAGAATGACTACTCACCATACACTATAGTACAGACTTCCTTCTCTCCATACACTATAGTACAGACTTCCTACTAACCATACACTATAGTACAGAATGCCTACTCACCATACACTATAGTACAGACTTCATACTCACCATACACTATAGTACAGAATGCCTACTCACCATACACTATAGTACAGACTTCATACTCACCATACACTATAGTACAGACTTCATACTCACCATACACTATAGAATAGACTTCATACTCACCATACACTATAGTACAGACTTCATACTCACCATACACTATAGTACAGACTTCATACTCACCATACACTATAGTACAGAATGCCTACTCACCATACACTATAGTACAGACTTCATACTCACCATAGACTATAGTACAGACTTCATACTCACCATACACTATAGTACAGACTTCATACTCATCATACACTATAGTACAGAATGCCTACTCACCATACACTATAGTACAGACTTCCTTCTCGCCATACACTATAGTACAGACTTCCTACTCACCATTCGCTATAGTACTTCATACTCACCATAAAACTGAGTAAGTGTAGTTTTACGCCGTATTTAGTAATATGCCAGCAAGATCTCGGCGGGGGACACCAGAAATGGGCTTGACAAACTGTGTTGTGATCGACCTTGGGTCTCCAGCGTGACAAGCCAACACTATATAACCACTATCAGGCTGCCTCATCGTCCCCATATAGCCCTATAGCCTCTGAGAGCAAACAATAATCTATTGAATTGTGTTCATGTATCTCTAGTCTTTCATCATCTCTTAGTGTCTGGTTTTCATGTAATTCTATGTCTTGCGCTTTTGAGCATGTTGTACATGGAAAATAGCACATTACAATCATGATGTTATTAGTTCCATATATAGAACGGATGACCTATTCTCATTGTATACAGTATATAGTAATGATGTACACATGTGACGTATATCTGACATACAAACACGGGTATACATGTGACGCATATCTGACATACAAACACAGACATACATGTCACGTATATCTGACATACAAACACGGGTATACATGTCACGCATATCTGACATACAAACACAGGTATACATGTCACGTATATCTGACATACAAACACGGGTATACATGTGACGTATATCTGACATACAAACACAGGTATACATGTCACGTATATCTGACATACAAACACAGGTATACATGTCACGTATATCTGACATACAAACACAGGTATACATGTGACGCATATCTGACATACAAACACAGGTATACATGTCACGTATATCTGACATACAAACACAGGTATACATGTCACGTATATCTGACATACAAACACGGGTATACATGTGACGTATATCTGACATACAAACACAGGTATACATGTGACGTATATCTGACATACAAACACAGGTATACATGTCACGTATATCTAACATACAAACACAGGTATACATGTGACGAATATCTGACATACAAACACAGGTATATATGTGAAGTATATCTGACATACAAACACAGGTATACGTGTGACGTATTTCTGACATACCAACACAGGTATACATGTGACGAATATCTGACATACAAACACAGGTATACATGTCACGTATATCTAACATACAAACACAGGTATACATGTGACGAATATCTGACATACAAACACAGGTATATATGTGAAGTATTTCTGACATACAAACACAGGTATACATGTGACGTATTTCTGACATACAAACACAGGTATACATGTGACGTATTTCCGACATACAAACACAGGTATACATGTGACGTATATCTGACATACAAACACAGGTATATATGTCACGTATATCTGACATACAAACACAGGTATATATGTGAAGTATATCTGACATACAAACACAGGTATACGTGTGACGTATTTCTGACATACCAACACAGGTATACATGTGACGAATATCTGACATACAAACACAGGTATACATGTCACGTATATCTAACATACAAACACAGGTATACATGTGACGAATATCTGACATACAAACACAGGTATACATGTGACGTATTTCTGACATACAAAACACAGGTATGTATGTGACGTATATCTGACATACAAACACAGGTATACATGTGACGTATATCTGACATACAAACACAGGTATACATGTGGCGTATATCTGACATACAAACTAAGGTATATATGTGACGTTTATCTGACATACAAACACAGGTATACATGTGACGTATATCTGACATACAAAACACAGGTATGTGTGTGACGTATATCTGACATACAAACACAGGTATACATGTGACGTATATCTGACATACAAACACAGGTATACATGTGGCGTATATCTGACATACAAACTAAGGTATATATGTGACGTTTATCTGACATACAAACACAGGTATACATGTGACGTATATCTGACATACAAACACAGGTATATATGTGAAGTATATCTGACATACAAACACAGGTATACATGTCACGTATATCTGACATACAAACACGGGTATACATGTCACATATATCTGACATACAAACACAGGTATATATGTGGCGTATATCTGACATACAAACACAGCTATACGTATGACGTATTTCTGACATACCAACACAGGTATACATGTGACGTATATCTGACATACAAACACAGGTATACATGTGACGTATATCTGACATACAAAACACAGGTATGTATGTGACGTATATCTGACATACAAAACACAGGTATGTATGTGACGTATATCTGACATACAAACACAGGTATACATGTGACGTATATCTGACATACAAACACAGGTATACATGTGACGTACCTTTGAATAACACTCAAATATATTAATTGTGGTGATATACGTTTGGCCAGTATCCTGTCCACCTCGGACCCCTCGTCAGCGTCTTTGCGACTCAAACAGCACACCTGGAGACGCTGCTGCGACAACCGGGTGTCCTGGACTGGTCAGCAAGGATCATCTTTGTCTGTAAGTGTTGCTATGGAAACCCTGGCACCATTAAGTATTAAACCCAGCCCAGATTCCTTCTTTCGAGTGAAAGTACGTTTGTAGAAACTATTTGTACATAATGTTTCATCTGACCACCGATTTACAGATAACATATACTCTCGGCCGATGACAGATAACAGGCTGCTTTTATTGAACACATGTGTTACAATGGTTTAACTGTATAACAAGCTGTGTTTTCTAAATGAACATTACATGTTGAAGAGGACCACTTTTTATGGATAGACAGCTTCTTTATTGCAATAGATGCGACGTTTCCTCTTCATCAAACCAGCTTCTAAAAGCCACTTATATAGAAGAAATCACATCTGTTGATTCAAACCATGCAGGTGTCGACATGGGCGCCATGCCAGCTGTTGTGAAAGCCATCGATTATCAACAAAAACCTTATACAGTGGACAAGTACCTCCTGATGACCGTTACACGGGACACACTCCGCACCAGGTACGTCCATCATATACACACCATCGTAACCTCCTGATGACCGTCACACGGGACACACTCCGCACCAGGTACGTCAATCATATACACACCATCGTAACCTCCTGATGACCGTCACACGGGACACACTCCGCACCAGGTACGTCCATCATATACACACCATCCTAACCTCCTGATGACCGTCACACGGCACACTCCGCGCCAGGTACGTCCATCATATACACACCATCCTAACCTCCTGATGACCGTCACACGGCACACTCCGCACCAGGTACGTCCATCATATACACACCATCCTAACCTCCTGATGACCGTCACACGGGACACACTCCGCACCAGGTACGTCCATCATATACACACCATCGTAACCTCCTGATGACCGTTACACGGGACACACTCCGCACCAGGTACGTCCATCATATACACACCATCGTAACCTCCTGATGACCGTCACACGGGACACACTCCGCACCAGGTACGTCCATCATATACACACCATCGTAACCTCCTGATGACCGTCACACGGGAAACACTCCGCACCAGGTACGTCCATCATATACACACCATCGTAACCTCCTGATGACCGTCACACGGGACACACTCCGCGCCAGGTACGTCCATCATATACACACCATCGTAACCTCCTGATGACGGTCACACGGGACACACTCCGCACCAGGTACGTCCATCATATATACACCATCCTAACCTCCTGATGACCGTCACACGGGAAACACTCCGCACCAGGTACGTCCATCATATACACACCATCCTAACCTCCTGATGACCGTCACACGGGAAACACTCCGCACCAGGTACGTCCATCATATACACACCATCGTAACCTCCTGATGACCGTCACAGGGGACACTCCGCACCAGGTACGTCCATCATATACACACCATCTAACCTCCTGATGACCGTCACACGGGACACACTCCGCACCAGGTACGTCCATCATATACACACCATCCTAACCTCCTGATGACCGTCACACGGGACACACTCCGCACCAGGTACGTCCATCATATACACACCATCCTAACCTCCTGATGACCCTCACACGGGACACACTCCGCGCCAGGTACGTCCATCATATACACACCATCCTAACCTCCTGATGACCGTCACACGGGACACACTCCGCACCAGGTACGTCCATCATGTACACACCATCCTAACCTCCTGATGACCGTCACACGGGACACACTCCGCACCAGGTACGTCCATCATATACACACCATCCTAACCTCCTGATGACCGTCACACTGGACACACTCCGCACCAGGTACGTCCATCATATACACACCATCCTAACCTCCTGATGACCGTCACACGGGACACACTCCGCACCAGGTACGTCCATCATATACACACCATCGTAACCTCCTGATGACCGTCACACGGGACACACTCCGCACCAGGTACGTCCATCATATACACACCATCGTAACCTCCTGATGACCGTCACACGGGACACACTCCGCACCAGGTACGTCCATCATATACACACCATCCTAACCTCCTGATGACCTTCACACTGGACACACTCCGCACCAGGTACGTCCATCATATACACACCATCCTAACCTCCTGATGACCGTCACACTGGACACACTCCGCACCAGGTACGTCCATCATATACACACCATCCTAACCTCCTGATGACCGTCACACGGGACACACTCCGCACCAGGTACGTCCATCATATACACACCATCGTAACCTCCTGATGACCGTCACACGGGACACACTTCGCACCAGGTACGTCCATCATATACACACCATCGTAACCTCCTGATGACCGTCACACGGACACACTCCGCACCAGGTACGTCCATCATATACACACCATCGTAACCTCCTGATGACCGTCACACGGGACACACTCCGCGCCAGTTACGTCCATCATATACACACCATCCTAACCTCCTGATGACGGTCACACGGGACACACTTAGCGCCAGGTACGTCCATCATATACACACCATCCTAACCTCCTGATGACCGTCACACGGGACACACTTCGCACCAGGTACGTCCATCATATACACACCATCCTAACCTCCTGATGACCGTCACACGGGACACACTTCGCACCAGGTACGTCCATCATATACACACCATCCTAACCTCCTGATGACCGTCACACGGGGCACACTCCGCACCAGGTACGTCCATCATATACACACCATCGTAACCTCCTGATGACCGTCACACGGGACACACTCCGCGCCAGTTACGTCCATCATATACACACCATCCTAACCTCTTGATGACGGTCACACGGGACACACTTAGCGCCAGGTACGTCCATCATATACACACCATTGTAACCTCCTCATGACCGTCACACGGGACACACTTAGCGCCAGGTACGTCCATCATATACACACCATCGAAACCTCCTGATGACGGTCACACGGGACACACTCCACGACAGGTACGTCCATCATATACACACCATCGTAACCTCCTGATGACCGTCACACGGGACACACTCCGCGCCAGGTACGTCCAACATATACACACCATCCTAACCTCCTGATGACCGTCACACTGGACACACTCCGCGCCAGGTACGTCCATCATATACACACCATCCTAACCTCCTGATGACCGTCACACTGGACACACTCCGCGCCAGGTACGTCCATCATATACACACCATCCTAACCTCCTGATGACCGTCACAGTGGACACACTCCGCACCAGGTACGTCCATCATATACACACCATCCTAACCTCCTGATGACCGTCACACGGGACACACTCCGCACCAGGTACGTCCATAATATTCACACCATCGTAACCTCCTGATGACCGTCACACGGGACACACTCCGCACCAGGTACGTCCATCATATACACACCATCCTAACCTCCTGATGACCGTCACACGGGACACTTCGCACCAGGTACGTCCATCATATACACACCATCGTAACCTCCTCCTGATGACCGTTACACGGCACACTCCGCGCCAGGTACGTCCATCATATACACACCATCGTAACCTCCTGATGACCGTCACACGGGACACACTCCGCGCCAGGTACGTCCATCATATACACACCATCGTAACCTCCTGATGACCGTCACACGGGACACACTTAGCGCCAGGTACGTCCATCATATACACACCATTGTAACCTCCTGATGACCGTCACACGGGACACACTTAGCGCCAGGTACGTCCATCATATACACACCATCCTAACCTCCTGATGACCATCACACGGGACAGACTCCGCGCCAGGTACGTCCGTCATATACACACCATCCTAACCTCCTGATGACGGTCACACTGGACACACTCCACGCCAGGTACGTCCATCATATACACACCATCCTAACCTCCTGATGACCGTCACACGGGACAGACTCCGCGTCAGGTACGTCCATCATATACACACCATCGAAACCTCCTGATGACGGTCACACTGGACACACTCCACGACAGGTACGTCCATCATATACACACCATCCTAACCTCCTGATGACCGTCACACGGGACACACTCCGCGCCAGGTACGTCCAACATATACACACCATCCTAACCTCCTGATGACCGTCACACTGGACACACTCCGCGCCAGGTACGTCCATCATATACACACCATCCTAACCTCCTGATGACCGTCACACGGGACACACTCCGCACCAGGTACGTCCATCATATACACACCATCGTAACCTCCTGATGACCGTCCCACGGGACACACTCCGCACCAGGTACGTCCATCATATACACACCATCCTAACCTCCTGATGACCGTCACACGGGACACACTCCGCGCCAGGTACGTCCATCATATACACACCATCGTAACCTCCTGATGACCGTCACACGGGACACACTCCGCACCAGGTACGTCCATCATATACACACCATCCTAACCTCCTGATGACCGTCACGCTGGACACACTCCGCGCCAGGTACGTCCATCATATACACACCATCCTAACCTCCTGATGACCGTCACGCTGGACACACTCCGCGCCAGGTACGTCCATCATATACACACCATCCTAACCTCCTGATGACGGTCACACTGGACACACTCCGCGCCAGGTACGTCCATCATATACACACATCATCGTTACCTCCTGATGACCGTCACACGGGACACACTTAGCGCCAGGTACGTCCATCATATACACACCATCCTAACCTCCTGATGACCGTCACACGGCAGAGTCCGCGCCAGGTACGTCCATCCACCATCTCTAACCTCCTGATGACCGTCACACGGCACACTCCGCGCCACGTCCATCATATACACACATCTAACCTCCTGATGACCGTCACACGGCACACTCCGCGCCAGGTACGTCCATCATATACACATCCACCCTCCTAACCTCCTGATGACCGTCACGGGATACCACTCCGCGCCAGGTACGTCCATCATATACACACCATCGTAACCTCCTGATGACCGTCACACGGGACACACTCCGCGCCAGGTACGTCCATCATATACACACCATCCTAACCTCATCCTAACCTCCTGATGACCGCCACACGGGACACACTCCGCGTCAGGTACGTCCATCATATACACACCATCGTAACCTCCTGATGACCGTCACACGGGACACACTCCGCGCCAGGTACGTCCATCATATACACACCATCGTTACCTCCTGATGACCGTCACACGGGACACACTTAGCGCCAGGTACGTCCATCATATACACACCATCCTAACCTCCTGATGACCGTCACACGGCAGACTCCGCGCCATTACGTCCATCATATACACACCATCCTAACCTCCTGATGACCGTCACACGGCACACTCCGCGCCAGGTACGTCCATCATATACACACCATCTCTAACCTCCTGATGACCGTCACACGGCACACTCCGCGCCAGGTACGTCCATCATATACACACCATCCTAACCTCCTGATGACCGTCACACGGGACACACTCCGCGCCAGGTACGTCCATCATATACACACCATCCTAACCTCCTGATGACCGTCACACTGGA